AGATCTGACGCTGATCGATCTTCCAGGAATTGCAAGGGTAGCTGTAGGGAATCAGCCACAAGACATTGGAGAACAGGTAATGCAACATGCATAGAAGAGCAGTGGAGATGGCAGATGTGGCCAGAGTGGTCGGAAGTGCAGCTGTGAGAGGCCTTTGGAGAACAATTATTTTGAATTAGCAGTATCAGATCATCCACAATAATGCTATTTTAAAATAACAATTTCAAAATAAGTGTTATTCCCTGAGGAAAGTGGTAGTAGATTTCAAATAACTAGCCTGTTATTTCAAAATAACGGATTTGGTAGTATGGACGCCCTGCGGAGTATCTCAAAATTAGGGGGAGGGGGTTATTTCAAAGTAAATTTCTAGTGTAGATCAGGGTTTAGAGAAATAGATTAGCCTTTATAGTGAGAACCATTTTCCCTCTATTTGTACCTCCCCATTTACTTCTGTCACAATTTGATACACATGATTGATACAATTCTACCTCCTCAGATAAGAAGAAGCCTGGCATCTAATGGTATTTGTCACATCAAACTTTACTGCTTTTCTTTCTTACCATATTTTATTACAGATCAAAAAGCTAATTAAAAAATTTATTGATAAGCAAGAGACAATAAACTTGGTAGTGGTGCCAAGTAACGTGGATATTGCAACAACAGAGGCCCTGAAAATGGCTCAAGAAGTGGACCCTGATGGAGAGAGAACTCTAGGTAAGACATGCTTTTAAATATACAAACGGGGGGAAGGCAGGTCGTAGAGTTCTAATATTTCCCCCTCTCCACATCCCTGCAAACACCTACCCACTATGGTGGGGGAGGGAAAGGGGGAACATGAATTTTGTGCATCAATAAAAGGAAACTGACATGTAATGCAGGGTTGAGGAAAATATGACCCCATTGGCTGGATCCAGCCAGTGGACACAGCAGGGCACCTCAGGCAGGCTCCCTTACCTGCCCTGCCAGCCCACACGCCACTCAGAAAAACGGCTGCCAGAGCCATTTGTCTTTCAACAGCTGCAAGCACATGCTCCCCCTGCCTCTGCCTCTTTGAAGCAGTCAGAATGCAGCATCTCTCCACCTCCCTCTTCTCAAGCTCATAGCTCTGCAGACCCATATGGCCCCTGCAGGGCAGGCACGGAGGCTGCCTGAGAAACCCATTGAGCTGTTGGCTGGTGGTCACTGAGATAAGTCTTCCAGCCAAACCCTGCCTCTGGCTCCCCAGCTCTTCCTCCCGCTCCTCCTGTACTCCCCCTCCCCCCGCAAGACTCTACACCCTGATCCATGGCCCCAGGTCACAACCCAAATGCCTTCAACCCCTTGTGAACCCTAGCCTCTTTCTCCAGGTCACAAACCCCTCCTTCGCCCAAACTCTCTCCAGGAGTGGTCCAAGGCGGGCTGCAGCAGCTGACGCCCCTGCCTGCATGGCCATCAATGGCTGTGAAGTAATCATTGGGTGCCCGGGCGCCCCGTGACATCATCATCGGGCGCCCCGGGCCGGCGGTGCCCTAGGCAACTGCCGAGTCTGCCTAGGCTCACAGGCGGCCCCAGACTCCCTCAGACTGCCCTCCCCCATGCAATCCAATACTTTACCCCCACACTCCCTTCTGCATCCATCCTCCATCCCAGACTGCTTACCTCCTCATTTAATATCATGGAACACTGAGGCTCTTACCCACTTATCAAATTCTTGGAGTGCCCCCTCCCAACAAAAATAATTGCCTGCTCCTGATCTAAAGGGATAGCTAAATTTAGGGCCCTACGGCCAATGATATTATGCCAATAAATACCTTGAAAACAGAATATGTTAAAAATCTTCCCTCATAATTTCTTTGATTATCTAATCTTCTCCTCATGTTACTCGACAGGGATCCTGACAAAACCAGATTTGGTGGACAGAGGAACTGAGGAGTCGGTTGTTGACATTGTCCGAAACCTTGTCATCCACCTAAGAAAGGGTTATATGATTGTTAAATGTCGTGGGCAGCAAGACATTCATGACAACCTAACCCTGGCCTCTGCAATCCAGAAGGAGAGAGCATTCTTTGAGGAGCATGAACATTTTAGGTACTTTTCAAACAGTTAAAAGGCCTAATCCACAATCCATTGAGGTCAATGGAAAGATCCCTGCTGACTCCAGTCAGATTTGGATTAGGCCCATAATGAGAATTATCCTCAGGTCAGTTTAGGATGGGGTGTTTCTTTGTTTAGTTTCCTTTTGTTTGTGTGGTAGTTTCCAAAATACAAGACTTTACATGCCAAACAACTTTTTGACTTATACCAAACAACACTTCAGATTCAAGTTTGATTTAAGCTCTGATCCAGAAAGAGAAGAGAAGATAGATAATTTTAAAGAGAAGCTAGATAATTTCATGGAGGTTAGGGCCATAAAAGGCTATTAGCCAGGGGATAGAAATGGTGTCCCTGGCCTCTGTTTGTCAGAGGCTGGAGAAGGATGGCAGGAGACAAATCACTTGATCATTGTCTTCGGTCCACCCTCTCTGGGGCACCTGATGCTGGCCACTGTCAGCAGACAGGATACTGGACTAGATGGACCTTTGGTCTGACCCAGTACGGCCGTTCTTATGTATGTTCAGAAAACCATTAAACTTGGTGATCATTAAACTCTGAAGTAGTCCCAATGAAGTCAAGTTCTGCACATGCTTTAAAGTGCCTTGCTGGCTCTGGCATTTAACATGTATAGTTCTATTCACTAGAAAATATGGTGAAACACACAGGAATGCTATGGTCTGTGTTAGGAGAATGCAGTCCTCCATAGATGATTGCTCTTTAGCATTTCATGCATAAAGAGTATTTTTAAACCTGAAAGAGGTTCTGAGTCACTATCCCTACCGTGTAGAGGTACATTTATCTCTATAATACACAAATAAATATGGATATTCTTATCTTGTGATCTTTCTGAAACAGGTGTCAAACTTCTCTAATTCTCAGTCTGTTCAGCAAACAGCTCATTGTTTAGAATCCAATCTTGCACAAAAGCAGACTTGTCAGGATGTGTTGAGGCAACAGCTGTACCTTCACCAGCGTTCCCCTGCCTCATCAGAAGAAACTGTTACGTGTTTTGTTCTGCAGAACTAGGGAAGACCTTGCAATCTTGTTCAGCAAATGGAAGTTGCTGACATTTATATTCCTTACTCTTTCAGAGTTCTTCTGCAGGAGAATAAGGCTACTATCCCCATTTTGGCAGAGAAACTTACAGCTGAGCTTGTGGAACACATTAATGTAAGCTAACAAAGAAACTGTTTACATCGGTGACCTTTACAAAATAGGATTCAATCTTGCATTTTTTGGAGGACTGGGCCTATAAACATTATTTATTTGAATAGTCTTTATCTTTCTGGATTGCAGTCTGCAAGCACATGGCCCATTATGCTGAGCCTGAGTCAGATGTAGAGCTGAGTGGATAACTGTTTTTGGTTGGTTGGTTGGTTTTTTTAGTTCAGCTGCCAACCCAGAGGTATTATCAGGGGATTTTTCCCCCCAAAGTGTTTGGAATCTATCAGTAAAATAGAATAGTCCAGCTCTTTCCCAGTTAAAATTATATGAACTTGACCTTATAGTGTCAGCTTGTCCAAAACTGCTTCTTTCTGTGGAAAAAAAAGCAATCGGAAACATTTCCACCAGCAATAGTCAGCTGATCCATGTTATGTTTAGCCTTGTTGCTGTCCTACTATTTAACCATGGTCAAATCACTTAATCTATGACCCCCCTCCCTTCTCCTCCTCCTCTCTTTTTAAAGTAGGGATTCTGATCCTTGCTTTCCTTTGTAAAGTGCTTTGAAGCCTATGGATAAAGTAGTGTTAATTAGAGCGAGTTATCAGTTAACTTTTGGAATCATGAAAAATATATAATAAATGAAACATTTCAGATGCTACATAGTCTTTTTATTCACTGTTTAATCATAAGAAAAAGACTGCTGAGATGCACTGCTTCTCCAAATAGGATGCTGCACTAGACAAGCAAGATACCTTTTTTTTTTTTTTAAAGTAAGGAAAGCACAAAAGAACACTTCCTCATAGCCTGCTCTGCAGTCTAAAATCAACACTGCCTTTCTTGATTTTTATGGGCAGCACAGGATTTATATATCTCCATGTCATACCCTGAAATTTCTTTCTACTTAAAATGGAATTGTCCGATCTGTTCAAGTATTTTTTTTCTACCCCTAGAAATCTTTGCCTGTTTTAGAAGAACAAATAAACATCCAGCTCCAAAAAGCAACTGAAGAGTTACGCAAATATGGCAAAGGCGCACCCAAAACAGAAGGCGAGAAGCTGTTTTTCCTAATAGATGTGAGTATAAATGTGTATTTGCTTGTGTGGCGCACCTAAGGGAGCAGAATAAATGACTACATTTTCATGAATTTCAAAAGGGAACAAATTCATTTCTTCCATTAACTTTGTAGGGCTTTCATGGCTTACAACATATAAGGCTAAGTGCATCCCTGGATTTAAACCATAGCTGTGTTTGGCTCATGGTGGCCAGTTGAAAGAGCTTCAACAATCTCCTTATTATGAGCCCCAGCCTGATGTGATGGGTCTATTACTGGTGGGGTAGGTCAGACCCAATGGCCTGAAATGTACAGGAGATCTGACTGGATGTTCATGGCAATCCTTTCTGCCCTTTAACATCCATGAGACCTACTGTGGTGAATGGTTGTTCCCGTAGTACTAATTAAGCTGCTCCCACAGACACCACCTTCCAGTCTTTCAAGTGCACCCCTGTCATAATGCAGAACTGTGCCTCCACTTCTCTTCAAAGTGCAATACTCTGATCCAACTCCCACCCCCCAGACTGGGTCTCCAGCTTACACCTCCCTGGCTGCCAATTGTTACCTGGGCTTTGGCCTGCTAGAGTTCTCCTCTGGGATACTGTTATCATATACATGCAGGGAAACAAACACAATATATTTTCTCCAAAAAGTTCACAGGCCTTAGAAGTGGATATAAAATATCAGACTTACAGGTCTTGCTCAAGCTTACCCTCTCTGGCCACAGCTCAGGCAGGTCTAGCTTCTTTTCCATCTCGGAGCTGGAAGAACCAGTTTACACTGCTTACACAAGCTCCCTCTGCCTCTGAATCAGACCTCAGCTGTTTCATGGATACACTCAAGGCTACCCCTTCTCGCTCACTTGGATCCTTTTGCTCTATAGCAGGGGTGTTCAAACTTTTTTCAAAGAGGGCCAGATTTGATGAAGTGAACATGCGTGAGGGCCGACCATTTTGCCTGACATTCTTTGAACCATTAAAATTAAACGCAAATTAACTATTTTATGCAAAGTTTATTGCAAACGGCATACTTTTCATTTCGTCACATGGATGACAAATCTAAACAGGTGTTAAATCACTCTGCCTTTCATATCTGAAGGCCAGATGAAAAAAAAATCCAGGAAGCTGAAATATATGTCAGGAACATTGTAAAGTACATTACATATTATTGGTAATAAAGGTTGTCTGTCAACTTTTAAGTTCAAAAAATATGAACAGGAACATAACACCAAGTATACATGTTGTGTCCAAATATATTTATAACTGATTTAGACCAACTGACATTAACTGAGATTTTACAATGTATTCATCTCAATACATATGGATTCGTTGGGGGCCATAAAAGATAGATATTGCCAAATTACCTGTGGGGCCGTATTAAACCGGAACACGGGCTGCAATTGGCCCGCGGGCCGGACTTTGGACATGCCTGCTCTATAGTCTGTGAAGTCTCAGCTTTGGCAAAACAATCATTAATTTCACTGGCACCTGGAAGTAGAGTCTCCCACTAATGGCCACATTGCTCTTGTAGCTGCTATGAAGGTGTGCACCTGAAACTGGCTGACTTGCTCATTCTAGTTTTGTTTTCTGTATAAGCCAATCTCCAACTCTGGTCTGATTTAACCCTTTGAGTTCAAGTAAGCAGCAATACAAAATAGAACAGGGAAAACAGGTCACACATAATATTCAGAAAAAATAATACAGAGAGTGAACCCCTTATATCCACATATCTAGCTGGTCTCAGCAAAACTGCATCTCTTGGGCTGAAAAATGAAGCTGACAATAGTAGGATAGCATATGCTATCTTCTACTCAGCCTTGCAATGACAATAGCACCCTTATTGGTCTCTGTAGAAACTGGTTACTGCTAACTATTGTGATGCCTGCTCAGTGGTCTGTATGAAGTGATTTGGTCTCAGCAGTTCTCAGTGAAGTGTCCATAGTAAGGAAAAAATAAACTCCTCAATCCATGCTTATTGCTAGCTCTCTCAGCTAGGACTAAATGAGTACTGAGAATGAATTACCCCTCGGCTACGTCTACACTGGCACGTTCTCACGCAAAAACTCTTTTGCGGAGGAGTTCTTCTGCAAAAACTCTTCCAGAAGAGAGCGTCTACACTGGCATGTGCTTTTCTGCAAGAGATGTGCTTTTGTGCAAGAACATCAATGCCAGTGTAGGTGTTCTCTTGCGCAAGAAAGTTCTGATGGCCATTTTAACCATAGGGCTTTTTTGCACAAGAAATTAATGTTGCCTGTCTACACTGGCCTCTTGCGCAAGAACAGTTGCACAGAAGGGCTTATTCCTGAGTGGAAGCATCAGAGTTCTTGCGCAAGAAGCCCTGATTTCGTACATTAGAATGTCAGTTTACTTGCGCAAGAACACGCGGCCAGTGTAGTCAGGCAGCAAGTTTTTGCGCAAGAGCAGCCGATTTTGTGCAAGATCGCAGCAGTGTAGACACAGCCCTCCAGAATAAAACTGAAACACATGCAGAATGTTGGGGAAGAAGCTTGTACATCTGCTGTCCTTGCAGATAACTAGATAACTTCAGACTCAAAGGCTCTCAGGAGCAGTACATTTTTTTTTTTTTAAATGAACAAGATTTTCCAAAAGTAGATGTTTAAAATTGGGGACCTCAAGCCGTATATAGGCATCCAAACAAAAGGTCTGGTTTTTCAAAAAAATGTCAGGCACTCATCCATGGCCACAAATATCAGACCACTTATAGGAGCTTCAATCTAGATTTAAGAGCCTCACTTTAGGCATCCATTTCTGAACAGCATGGCTGAGGTTAGATCAGACTGTAGAGTAAAGAGAGAGAGGGACAAAGAAGGTGAATTACAATTTAAGTTGGGATTTTCAAAAACATCAAAATAAATTAGCAGCATAAATCCCATGACTTTTAAAGAAGTTCAATGCTGGACAGAACTTGGTCAATATGAGAGTGTAGTCCATGTTTGTCTCAATGATTTCCATAACAGACATCATTGGTTTACAAATATAAGATGGTTGTCTATTTTTCTAACTGCCAGACCTGCAGTCTCAACCTGGGATCTGCAAATCAAGCTGGAGACTTTTCTTTTTTAATGCCCTCCCCAGTAATAGGTTCTGCAGACCAAAATAGGCCCACATTGATACCTCTGCAACTCTACCAACTCTCACTGGCTTTTCATAAATCTAACTGGAATTTAGTAAAAGATTGCCTTGATCCACAAGGGAAATAAAATTCAAGTTCACTCTTGCTTAGCTGTGTTGCCTTTACAGAATTCAGAATGGGTTTTTTTGTTTTTCTCTTTAAACCTCATTACAGAAAATCAAACTCTTTAATCAAGAAATCATGAATACAGTGGTGGGAGAAGAAAAGTTGCTGCTTAATCAAATTAAACTATTTACAAAAATCCGTGCAGAGTTTCAAAAATGGGGGAAAATACTTGATGAGAGCGCATTGACTGGTAAGTACAGGGGGGATTGCCTGTAAAGCTGCTATGAAATACTCCATTTATATTGACTGAAGTTGTAATACAGCTAATAGATTATGTTAATGAAAATAAAAGCTTGAAGTGATGAAAACTTATCTGTCAAGATGTTGACTAATTAATGCTTAGATACCTGGTTGGCGATCCCCCAGCTGTTGTGAATTCTCAGAGCGCCACTGAAGTCAATAGCATGCTCCCACCTTCCATTGAGGCCAATAGTGCCAGGGCAATTTCAGCAGCTGACACTATGCCCCCTGGTTCTTTGAATAATTTATGTTAAAAGGAGATTTTAAAGTGCAGAGGTAGCAATGTATGTGTAATAAAATAACCATTACAAAAAATAGGTTTCACATATAACCCAGATCTAACAGGAGACTATAGCTCACAGACATTTAATTTTAAGGTAAGCTCAAAACTTTTTTAAACCTCTCAGAACATCCATTAACTCTTGTGAACATGTAGCACCACCTTTTTGTTGAGCAACCCCTATTATGTTTTTTTTAACTGTTTATGCATATGTACATAAATGTTGCTAAATAATTCTTAAATGAATAGTTACATGATGAATAAAGGGGTATTCTGTGGATTGACTATAAGGACATACCTCACTGAGGGACAACTACATTTAGACCTGGGTATAGTCTATTGTCTAATCTGTCCTGTCTCACTGCATATCCAGAACCAGTTAATCTATATGTATTCGATGCATGGGAAAAAAACCCACAGGAAAACAAGGGAAAAGATGAGAGAGCAGGTGAACAAACACAAGAAAAATAGGAGAGCAAGTAAAAACTAGTTTCTTTATGATGGGACTTATTCCCTTTGAGAATCAGCTGGGGGGGTGTGAATGGGAGGCACACCTACATTGAGGGTAAAATGGGATACCTCCAGTTTCATTTAGAAAGCAACTTGAGATTCACATAGGAAAGGCACTGTGTGAGGCCGGTATTAGTTATATAACTAGAGTCGTTGTAAGTTCATGAAATGGTTCTAATTAGAACAGAATAAGTATTAAAAATAGCCTATAAATGAAAGTTCAAACTTAGGAAATTATGCAGGTTTTGGAGCATCCTGTTCTAAAGTACATTGGAAGATGTTCTAGGTGACTGGTTAATTTTACAAACCTTGTACACCTTCCTTCTAAAAGTGGTGTGTTGTGGTTTTGGTTTGCTTTGCTTCCCAAATTCCTCTTTGATACATGAAACTACACAATGATTTTTTTGTAGTGTGACTATAAGCCCAAAATTTCCTGTAGTCTCTTGGAACTCGAGAGGAATGGTTTCTAAAATCAAATGCAGCATTACCTGTGTACCTCCTGTCTCCAGTCATGCTTAGTTATGATATATTTTTCTAAATCCACCCATGATCAGTAAAGATTGGATACATTTTAAAGCACTTGTACACACATCAAAGGGAATAAATATGATTTAGGATGGCAAACTTCTATAGCGTTAACATTGTTTTAGAGATGGTGCCTGAGCATATCAGAAGGCCTAGAGTAGACTTCCTTGTTTGTGGTAGTTTTTCATCTTCCTCTAAATAAAGCATCAAGTATTGGCCACTGCTGATAAGGTATCAGACTGATAGGAGATGCTATACTGGCCCTTGTTCCAGCTTTCCATTAGTTTACATACTTAGTGACTGAAACAGCTCATTCTTAGAAGTAATTGCATATTTTGGCTCATAAATCAACCTGCATAAATGCCCAGCTGAGTTCTTTCAGTCAAGTATCTTGAGAACAAAGCTAAACTTTTAAATCCATAATTTTTTTTAATAAAATGATTGGATATAGTGTATTTAAATAGTGCTATTTTAATGTTCTAGTTAGAAAAACTATACAACATGAAGTGTGGAGATTTGAACAACAGTATCGTGGAAGAGAGCTCCCAGGTTTTGTCAGTTACAAGGCATTTGAGACCATTGTAAGACAGCAAATCACAATACTAGAAGAACCAGCTATTGAGATACTGAAGAAAGTAAATGGTGAGTTTCATTTATTAAGCTTATCCTAAGCTTCAGCAATATTAATTTGTCTACATTTTGGTTAACATGCCGAGAGCTATATTTTACCTGCTTCAAGCAGGGGAAAACTAATCTGAATCAAACCAGGGTCAAGCCATGAAACATTTCTAGACCTTAATCCTCTGTGCCTGACCTTTAGACTGTGATAGGACACATATCTAAATGGACAGTATTTCTGAAAGTTGTAAATGGACCACAATAAGAAAATAGGAAAATGAAAAATCATCAGATAGGACATGAATCAAACATTGAAGAGCTAAGCAGAGTTCCAAGGCATT